CTCTTCCTATCCCACTGTAGGGGAAGTCTGCAAGAGTGAGCCTGTGGCTGTGTGGGGCTCTGTTGCCAGCTGGGATTAAACCACAAAAGACACTTCAGTTTGTTTAGTTCTCCTGCAGAGTAGACATACAGCCTCTAGGTTTAGTGAAATTCCTAGAGGAAAGGGGAGATTGCACCCTCCATCAGAGCTGCTGAGTACATATCCAAGAGCACAGGCTGGGGCAGGCAACGTAAGGAGGACAAAGAAAGCAGATCAGAGACCTTGGCAAAGTGCTTGATTGTAGCAGACCCACAAGAAGTCATGGAAGTGAGGGAAAAGGAGCTCAGATGTGATCATGTAAAAATGTGCAACCTGACAATTCAGCAAAAGCATGTGGAGTGGAAAAGAGGACTGAGAGAAAGAACCTGTTCTTTAGGGATAGAAGGAGCAGAGAAGATTTATTTTCATGTCTTTTACTTTCATGAGTAAAGCCCGCAATTCTGTGTCCCCTGCAGACCTGTCACTTTATGGTGTATTGATTGCTGTTATAATAAAATATACTTTTAGATACTTAGATGGCTTTTGGTATGCTCATTAGAAAGAGAAAGTAGAAAATATCAAACTTCAGCCCAATGAGAGGTCTTACCAACATCTTCAAAGTGGTGGAAATGCCAAGGCTGACCAGGAAGGATAGGATAGGGATTATGATAATTTCTATTTAAAGAACTGCTTCTGTGCTTGGGGATCCCATAGATATTTACATAGTGACTGGGAATATACATTTTGGATTGCTTTGGAATAAAGCCAGCTCTGTGGTAAGAACTAGTGAATTTTGACATTTCCTGAGATTATATTTTACTTTGAAATAGAAAGTTCATCAGAAACTTCCATGGAAATGGATGACATTATTCTTCATGGTTTGGAAGTTCCCAATTAAGTATTACCCAGGCCCAGTCCTAGTTTGCTTGTGAGTCACTTCAAAGTCACTTCAGAAATTCAAATTAACCAAACCTTGAAGGAGTTTTTGGCAGACACATTCTTTGGTAAAAGAAATCAAAAGATCATGTTTCTAGCAGCATGAACCAAAAAAAAGCAAATCAAGAAAGAAAATTCACAATTAATGTTTACACTAATGCTGCTTACTTGCACTCTAGCAATAAAAGAGGGCAGTAAAGGGAGGACAGTTTAACCTTTTCTAATAATAAGACCTCTGCGCAAAAGTATGAAGGTATGTGGATAAGATGAGCAAGAAGATTTTTTTACTAATTAATGTGTCATCTGGGGAAAATTCTTGACATACTTAAAGTCTTCTGAATCGATAACAAGATACAGGGGATTTCGTGAGCCTTCTACAAATCTTCTATAAACCTAAAATTTTATTTAAAGTTGATTCAGCAGATTTTAAGCTTTCTGATGTGGTTTCTTATTTGAAGTGAATGGTACCTGATTTATTCAGAGGAGAATATGACACAAAGGCATAGCAAAATGCACCACTTTCACTGCCTCTTTCTTTACAGCCTTGAAGCATGAAAACCCATTGTGTTGGGGAATTTTGCATTGCAATGAGCTGCTTGGGAGATGCTGAGTTGAAAATCAAATAAAATGCTGCTGCTTTAATATGTAAATGAGAGTGAACACAGTTCAATATGCACAACACTGTCGTTCTTGCTCAACATTTGCAAACATTATCCGAAAAACCCCCATCTCCAACACACAGGTGGTTTGAGTGCTTAGGTTTGCTTAGTCATTTTCAGATGAGGTCAGGCATACTCTGCATGATTTGGAGCTCTGAGGCTCTCAGCGATGTTAAACTGGGAGAGGAAACACTTTGTTGTCCAGTTCTCAGAGGCACTCCTTGAACTCACCCAGAAGCTATCACTAGACAGAAGGCTTCTTTCAGTTCTGCTCCTGGTAAAATCATCTGAGTTTAAAACGCACACCTCACATTTTCTTGGAATGCCATTGAGGAGGAAAACACTTCTCATTTAAAAACACCTCTAGAGTAATAATGCATCACAGAATACTCTTCACCCAAAGGATATTACTGCTCAAAATGAAAAGGCAAAAACATTTGAAAGAATATATAAGAAGTTAAAATGCAGTGAAGTGTGTTCATTTTGCAAGTCAGAAATAATTTCTCTAGAAAACAGTCAAATAAAACTGAAAGAAGTTGAGTTGGAATGGTTCATTCACCTAGATTGAAGAAGATAATGAGATTTCAGACAATATTAGTAAGGTAAAACCAAGTGTAGTTTTCGCAAAGAGGCTAATAGTAATGATTTGTCTACTCACTTAAAGTTGATGCTCATTAAGACCACTTCTTATAGTACTGTGAATGTTTAAGAACTGGGTTTCAAAATGTGCTGGACAGCAGAAATAATATCATTCCAGATCTGGGTAGGGAGTAGCGAAACCCAGCAAAGTCAGATCTTGTACCATGGAGGAAGACAGACAAGGGTTTGACTAATTAATGCAAAAATTAAATCTTCTAATTCATTGCATATTCCAGATGCACTTTCAAATGCAGCTTCAGTGTATTTGCTTGTAAGCTTTGGGGAGGGGGTTAGTATTTTTTTAATAACTTGCAAAAAACTTATTTGTCAGTACCAATAAGATTGGATAACTTGAGGTGTCTGTCCAGATTAATGCAGGTTTTGAAAGTAGTACTCTGATTTTCTCCTCACACAAGGCTTTCAGACTAAAACCATTACTCAGCCAAAAAAAAAAGAGCAACTTGTGTCCCACCAGTGACACAGAGAACTGAGAGATCAGTGATTTACTGTCCCAAAGTTTAATGGCCACCTACTAAAAGAGGAAATGAGTGAAGTGCTAAATAGAGGTTTGTTTGGACTACAGCTATGGGTATTATT